CAGCCACAGAGTGATACTGTTTGCTACTTTATGGAGAAAACGGAAAACATCAGGAGTGAGCTTTTATTTAGCTTTCACCTCTTTTCGCGCTGTTTCAGAGGTGTTTCTTTTCCTCTCTAGGTTAACAGTAATCCTGTCTCCACACACCTTTGACTCCATCCCTTTCTGTCTCTCTGTTTTTGTTTTTTTCTTAAGACAGAGTCTTGCTCTGTCGCCCAGGCTGGAGTGCAGTGGCACAGTCTCAGCTTACTGCAATCTCCGCCTCCCGGGTTCAAGGAATTCTCCTGCCTCAGCGTCCAGAATAGCTGAGACTACCGGTGTGTGCCACCACACCCAGCTAATTTTTTGTATTTTTAGTAGAGATGGGGTCTCACTATGTTGGCCAGGCTAGTCTCAAACTCCTTTTTTTTTTTTTTGAAATGGAGTCTCGCTTTGTCGCCCAGGCTGGAGTGCAGTGGCTCAATCTTGGCTCACAGCAACCTTTGCCTTCCGGGTTCAAGCGAATCTTCTGCCTCAGTCTCCCGAGTAGCTGGGACTACAGGCATGCGCCACCACGCCCAGCTAATTTTTGTATTTTTAGTAGAGACAGGGTGTCACCATATTGTCCAGGCTGGTCTCGAACTCCTGACCTCATGATCCACTCGCCTCGGCCTCCCAAAGTTCTGGGATTATAGACGTGAGCCACCGCACCCGGCTGCCTGTTTCTATTTTATGTATTATTATCTCTGCTCCTGAGTCTTCAAGTCTTCCCTTCCGAAGCCATACTTTCCAAAAGAGCAGTCAGCATTCCCTCTCCACTTCCTCAACTTCCGCTCTTCACTCTTGGAGTTGGATCTGGCTTCCTCCCCTCTCTAGTAAGACGGCCTTTGTTGGCCATCAAATTCTAAGTCAGCGGCACATCTTTCTTGACCTCTCCAGAACATTGACGATTCTGACCACACCCTCCTTCACAAGTCTCTCTTCCTATGTGCCTCTGATGCCACTTTCACAGCATGTGGCTCATGAATGTCGCCTATAGATTCTTGAGAATTTATTGAAGCTTCCTTTGTGGCCAGTAATCAATTTCTGTAAATGTTCCAATAATGTTTGAAAAGAATAGATACATCCAAGTTCTTTTTCTAAAACACAAACCTCTCATTCCTTCCTGGTCTTCCATCACTTCTACGGTCTTCAAGTGAAAGACCAACCCCCTCAGTCTTGAATCTTTCTCTTCTTTCTACCTTTTATTCTTGATCCTTTGATCTTGAAATGCCCGTGTTCCCAGAGTCTTTTATCTTTTATTCTTTTATCTCTCCACACACCAGGGAAGCACATGCTTCACAAAACGGGACGGTATCTCTCAGCTCTGAATGAGTGTTGCCGTGGGGGAAGGCTGGCCCGCTGTCGTCAGACTTCCCCACTTTTCCAGAGTAGTCAGCTACAGTAGGGTTTTATGTCAAATATCCCAAGTTTATTTATTTTTGAGACAGAGTCTGGCTCTGTCACACAGGCTGGAGTGCAGTGATGCAATCTCAGCTCACTGCAACCTCTGCCTCCTTGGCTCAAGCTGTCCTCCCACCTCAGCCTCCTGAGTGGCTGGGACTACAGGCGCTCGCCACCATGTCTGGCTAATTTTTGTGTGTGTGTGTATATATACACACGTATATATATACACATATACATACACACGTATATATAGACACATACATACACACGTATATATAGACACGTATATATACACACGTATATATAGACACATGTACACACACACACACACACACACACACACATATATATATATATTTTTTTTTTGTAGAGATGGGGCCTCACCATGTTGGCCATGGCTGATCTCAAACCCCTGAGCTCAAGTCATCCTCCCAGCTTGGCCTCCCAAAGTGTTGGGATTACAGGAATGAGCCACTGTGCCCAGTCAAAGATCGAAAACCCCAAGTTTAAATATTGATAATCAATAGAAAATTTCACAAAACCGTGTAGGGCAAACAAAACACAAATGTTACTCCTTAGGGCTTTATTTCCCCACTTATTTGACTACCTGTTGGGCAGTTTATAAAGTACTTATTAGTGGTGTTAGTTCACACTTATTGAGGGCTTACAATGTGCCACAGACACTCTTCTAAGTAGTTTACATCTTCTCTTCCTTTAATCTTCAGAATAACACTATCAACAAAGTGCTATTATTAAACCTGCTTTATAGATGAGCAAACTGAGGCTGAGAACTTGAGTTCAGTCATCCCTTAGTATCTGTGAGGGATTGGTACCTCAGTCCCCATGGATACCAGAATTCTCGATGCTCAAGTCCCTTATATAAAATCAAAACTACCTTTGTAAAAAGCATAACTGAGAAAATTCTGAGAAAATTCTGATAGTGAAAGAGATCTGGCCTGACTCCATCTTGCTTCTAACTTCCAAGCTGTCCTTGATCATTCCTGGGCATAGGTTGAATTAATGTTGGAAAGAACTTAGTTCATAGTTTAACTTTGAAACAAAGGCAATAATAGTCCTTTCCCAAAACAAATCCCCTTCTTGCCTAGGGATGGGTCTGCCTTTGTAGACTAACAAATTAGCTAAAAGATTAGAAATTATGGTTTAGGAGGTCACGCAAGCTGGAGGCTGCAAGATTCTGACCCACCCCAAATTGCTTCTGGGAGTAACATCACTGTTCTAAAACCTAAAATCAGTGCTTGAGATATTTTGCAGAACCCGTGTGCTAACGCATCAGCTGACACCACCCAGCCCTGTAATCTGGCTCACCTGGTACTTTGGCCCTAACCCAGGAACTGACTCAGTGCAAGAGGACAGCTTTGACTCCTTTCCTCTCTAATCCGACCAATCAACACTCCCTAATCCCCAGTCCCCTACCCACCAAATTATCCTCGAAAACCCTGAATTTCCGGGGAGACTGATTTGAGTAATAATAAAACTGTGATCTCCTGTTCAGCCAGCTCTGTGTGAATTAAACTTTCTCTATTGCAATTCCCCTGTCTTGATAAATTGCTTCTGTCTAGGCAGCAGGCAAGGAGAACCCACTAGGCACTTACAAAATGGCAGAATATTTGCATATAACCTACGCAAATCCTCCAGTATATTGAAAGTCATCTTTAAATTACTTATACTACTTAATACAATGTAAATGCTATATAAGTAGTTGCTATGCTGTATTGCTTTCAGAATTTGTATTATTTTTATTTTTGTATTGTTATTTTTATTGTTTTTCCTCCACAAATACTATCCATCCGTAGATGGGGAACCTATAAACAGGGACGGCTTACTGTACTTTGTCCTGTGTCTCAGAGATACTGAGTTTAAGGCCCAGGATTCTATGTTGACCATCCAGCTCCAAAGCTCAAGGTTTTAATCACCACACACTACTGCTTTCCCACTTGGCAGATGGAACTGAAGCCCAGAGAGGTTAAGAGGTTGTCCAACATCAGGCCGGGCATGGTGGCTCACGCCTGTAATCCCAGAACTTTGGGAGGCCGAGGCGGGCGGATCACGAGGCCGGGAGATGGAGACCATTCTGGCTAACACGGTGAAACCCCGTCTCTACTAAAAATACAAAAATTAGCCGGGCGTGGTGGTGGGCGCCCATAGTCCCAGCTACTTGGGAGGCTGAGGCAGGAGAATGGCGAGTGCCCGGGAGGCGGAGCTTGCAGTGAGCCGAGATGCGCCACTGCACTCCAGCCTGGGGGTCAGAGCGAGTCTCCGTCCAAAAAAAAAAGAAAGGTTGTCCAAGATCAAAGGGGTGGTGAGTGACCAAGCCTGTATTTGAGTTATCCTCACAGAGACAGACATTTGCAGGTACCGCTGTTCTATATTAGTTACCTGTTTCCCTTGCTAGGCTGCATCCCTAGCTCTCAGACTAGGGATAGAATACAAACGTTTGGAAAATTAATGCCTTGAAGATTCAAAGCAGTCTATTCACTTCCAAGAGTAATTTCACTTGCTTTCTCACAATCCCTAGGTAAGATAATAGTTAACATTTAATCAGCACTCCCACGTGACACTTTTCAGTGGCTATGCTAAGCACCTGATATAGGTGCTATTATCTCTTGTAAATCTCACCAACACTATTTTGCAAGGACTCATATCCCCATTTAATGGAAGAGGAAACTGAGGCTCAATGACTTGCCCAAGCTCCTGCCAACTAGTAAGTGGCAGAGCCAGGATTCTAGCTCAGGCTGTATGATCACAGAGTCCACATTTTTCTTTTCTTTTTTTTGACACGAAGTCTTGCTCTGTCACCCAGGTTAGAGTGCTGTGATGCGATCTGGCTTAATGCAACCTCTGCCTCTCGGGTTCAAGCGATTCTCCTGCCTCAGCCTCCCGAGTAGCTGGGATTACAGGCACACACCACCACGCCCGGCTAATTTTTGTACTTTCAGTAGGGACGGGGTTTCACCATGTTGGCAAAAGTTGGTCTCAAACTCTTGACCTCAAGTGATCGGCCCGCCTTGGTCTCCCAAAGTGCTGGGACTACAGGCGTGAGCCACCGCGCCTGGCCAGAGTCCACATTTTTGACGACGAGGCCACACTGTCAGTTTCACAGATCGGGAAACTGAGGCCCGGGGCAGGGCACTACATTGTGCCGGCGGAATCGTGGTCACTGAGGGAAGCACGGGCTGCACGCCAATTCTTCTTCCTTGGTCAGGGAAGTCACTGAGGTGCAGGAGGCGGAGGGCGACAAGTGGAAGCCCCTTCCCATTATTAAGGATGAAGAGCGGCGAGGTAATTAGGATCTAACCCACGAGGCGGAAACACCAGGGAAACGGCGCGAACGGAAACCGGAAGTGCGTCACCCAACGGACGGGCGAATCGGCCGCAGACCACCAATGGGAACGCCGCGTTCGCGTTCGCCCCGCCCCAAAGGAAGAAGAGTCCGCCTTGCGACCGTATCCGCTAGCTCAGCGCGGGTTGCGCTTGGGCGCCCTGGTGGGTAACGCGGGGCGCTAGGGGATAGAGGGGAAAGAAGAGGGACTTCGAGGAAGGCGAGGGGAGGACGGAGGGTGGGGTGGGCGAGACAGGCAGTGGGGTCCGGCCCCGTGGTCGGTCCCCGTGGGCTGTGGAACTCGGGGACGGGGGTCTTGGGGTTCCCCCTTCTTGATGGGGAAACTGAGGCCCAGAGAGGGGCCGCAGAAGGCAGCGGACTGGGATCTCCTCCCGCAACACACATGCAGACATCTAAAAATCGTACTATTTAATGAAAAATATTTTTAATCGTAATTACGATTTAACAGGTAAGGATACTTTTCATCGTAATAGGTGAAAAAGCAAAATATAAAATTCGATTCAAACTGTGATTACATCTATGGAAAACAGCCTTCGCCGACCACCCTGTCTGTCCCGCCGCCCTCGGTGCTCCCCTCTGTTTTGTGTACGGAGTTTCTCACTTTGTACAAGTCCGCAGCCGCTTGTGTTACAGCCCCGAGGCCAGATGCGTTTAAAATCGAGGATTTCTCGGACTTTGGAAAGGTAAAGTGCGTATGTTCTATGTTAGGTTTCACCCTTAGTGGGGGCTGGAGCAGCGGCTTGCAATCAGATACACGACCCTTTCCACAGCTAAAGATATGAAGATATGCACATATTATGTTGACCGGGTCGCGGTGGCTCACCCCTGTAATCCCAGCACTTTGGGAGGCTGAGGCGGGCGAATCACCTGAGGTCCGGAATTCGAGACCAGCCTGGCTAACAGGGTGAAACCCCGCCTCTACTAAAAATACAAAAAATTCGCCGGGCGTGGTGGCACGTGCCTGTACTACCAGCTACTCGGGAGGCTGAGGCGGGAGGCTGAGGCAGGAGAATCGCTTGAACCAGGGAGGCGAAGGTTGCAGTGAGCAAGGATTGCACCACTTCACTCCAGCTGGGGCAACAAGAGCGAAACTCCGTCTAAAAAAAAAAAAGATAGGCATATATTTACACTGTTGGGATAAATAACCATAAATAGCCTTACCTTAAGTCAGGTCAAGTTTTCCAACGTAAGAAACAAGTTTCGATATTCAGACTTTTTTTTTTCCCCTGCATCCAATCATCCACTAGTATTCATACCTTTTTAGATTTGAGGGTTGCAGATGAGGGACCTGGATTGTAGTTGTTCTGTTCACTCACTTTTCTCACTCTCACTGGATAAGAGAGTGTCTTTGAGAACAGGAACCGTGCTGTTGTATGGTCACATCTCTCTCTGCCACCAACTCTTGCGTGTCACCTTGTGCCCTCTTAGTCTCAGTTTCCTCATCTGTAAGATGGGGTCAGTGATCCTTTGCTCATAAGGTTGTTCTGGTTAGGTTTAAATGAGGTCGTGCATGTGAAGCACTAGAATTGTGTTAGCACCTGCACGAATGGTATGACTGAGATTTACTTATTCCACAAACATTTCTATTTTAAAATTATTAAATTTAAATAAATTTATTGTTTAATTAAATGCATTAATTAATTAAAAGTATAGATGTATTTCTTAAAATGTGGGTGATAGGAATTTTAAAGATTTATATAATGCTTCAAAGCCTTAGAAAAGGTTTTCTTTTAATTGATTTATCTGTATATCTGAACTCTTGAAACTTAAAGCTAAAATACTAGGATTTATCTGCAGGGTTGCAGAGGGATAATTCTGCCTTAAATTGTCTAAAACAAAAACAAAACAAGACAATATGTTATACATGGGATTAAAACCAATTTTTCTCCCATTTTTTCTCCTTTTTTCTTTTGCTGCCCACATTGTGCCTTTATTTTATGAGCCCCAGTTTTCTGGGCTTAGTTAAAAAAAAAAAATTGAATTCTAAACGTTGAATTTAGGGAGTTTTTGTTCTTAAATAAAAAGGCATAGACTTAAAAAAAATAAATGTTTATCCGGGAAAATATATTGAAATCATGCTGCTGAGCCTCTATTTTCTTTGATGTTTTGGTTCGGTATTCTTTTATCATAAATTCTTAGCATTTAAAAATTTACTGATGTACATTTAAAGCCAATAAACTGTTTTAATTATATATATAAAATATATATATATATATTTTTTTGTAATGGAGTCTCACCCTGTCACCCAGGCTGGAGTGCAGTGGTGCGATCTTGGCTCACTGCAACCTCCACCTCCTGGGTTCAAGCAATTCTCCTGCCTCAGCCTCCTGAGCAGCTGGGATTACAGGCGTGCACCACCACGCCTGGCTAATTTTTGTATAAAATAAAATTATTTAAGTAGGTAATACATGTATGTCTATGGCTAATCCCACCATTCTCTCCACAGTCTCTTCTCATAGAGACAAGGGATACAATATGCATAAACAAACTTATGGTTGTCTTTCTTCCACTCCTACTTTCCCGCCCCTTTTCCACCAAATCATAGCATTCAATCTTATCCTGTTCTCATTCTCATTTACATTTATTTTGGCTGTTAACATATTCACATTACTTTTTTTTTTTTTTGTAGAGAGTGGATCTTGCTGTGTTGCCCAGGCTGGTCCTAAAGTCCTGGTCTCAAGCAGTCCCCCTGCCTTGACCTCCCAAAGTATTGAGATTACAGGTGTGAATCACCATGCCGGGCCCATCACATTTAAAAACATTGTATGTAACATACCTATACAATTGTGTGGAAGTGTAAGTTTGAAGGACAAAAATGAAATGAACACTCATGTACCTGCCACCAAGTTAAGAAATAGACATTTTCAGATCCCCAAACCCCCCCCCCCAGTGAATCCTTTCTTCCCTCCTCGAAGATAACCACCACTCTGAATATTGTGTTACTTGTTCCTTTGTTTTGCTTTGTAGTTTTTACGATGTATGTTCATATCTCTAATGAATATAATGTATACTTTTGCCGAGTTTTCGATTTTATATGATAGGATTCTAAAATATATTTTGTGTGACTTGTTTGTTGCACTTAACGTTATCTTTTTGAGAAGCATGTGTGTTGATGTGAGGAGCTCTACTTTATCTTCATTGCTGATTTGAATTCTATGGTATAATTATATTGTTTTAATGTAGTTCTTCAGTTGGTAGGCATTTATACTGTTGCCAGACTTTTGTTATTACACGGTGCTTCTGTAAAAACATATTTCCTAGTGCAAAAGTGGACGTTTCTGTAAGGTATATACCTAATAGATTTCTGGGGATATGCAACTTTGCTAGTAATATCAACTGTTATCTGAAATGGTTACAATAATTTATACTCAGCCTGGTGTGGTGGCTCACACCTGTAATCCCAGCACTTTGGTTGGCCAAGTTGGGTGGATCGCTTGAGTCCAGTAGTATGAGACGAGCTGGGGCAACAGGTGAGACCCCATCTCTACAAAAAATACAAAAATTAGCTGGGCATGGTAGTGTGTGCCTGTAGTCACAGCTTCTAGGGGGTCTGAGATCAGAGGATGGATTGAGCCCACAAGGTCAAGGCTGCGGTGACCTATGACTGTCATTTCATTCCAGTCTGGGCAACAGAGTGAGACCCTGTCTCAAAAAAAAAAAAAAAAAAAAGAATTTATACTCTTCCAGCAACAGATGAAAGTTTCAGCCTCAGACATTCTTTTAAAATTTTTGCCTATCTGGTGGTGGCTAAGACATTCCTTCACTGTGGTTTTAATAATCATTTATCTGATAACATTGAGATTGAGCATCTTTTTTCTGTATTTATTCATCATTTATGCATCCTCTTTTTGTAAAATTTCTGTTGCCCATTTCTCTTTCACAGTTGTCTTTCCCATGCTGATCTGTAGGAATTCCTTATATAGTCTGAATATGAATCTTTTGTATTGTGTAGCTTATGTTTGTTTTAAATACCCTCCAGTTTGTATCCCCCAACCCCCACCTTTCTGGTATTTTTGGTGAATACAGACCCTTAACTTTAACAAAAGTCAAATTTATCAGTATATTCCTTTATGACCTGTACTTTTTTTGTCTCTTAAAGAAATCCTTCCCTACCCGCAGGTGATAAATATATTCTCTATATTGTCTAAAAGTCTTATAGTATTTTTCCTTATTATGACCTTATCCCTTCAGAATTGATGTTTGTGTATAGTGTGAGGTAAGAATCAAATTTTATTCATTTTTTCACAGATGGATAACAAGTTTTCCTGGCACCTTTTATTGGAAAGTTTGCTTCCCTCCACCATCAAGTATCCATGTACATGTACCTTTCCATTTCTGAGTTCTCAATTCTATTCCATTGATTGGTCTTATTTGTCTATCTCTGTACCATTACCACACTTGACTCGTTACTCTAGCTTTATAAGACGTGCTTTTTTTTGTTTTGGTTTGTTTTTAGACAGGGTCTCACTCTGTCACCTTGGCTGGAGTGCAGTGGTGCAATCATGACTCACTGTAGCCTCGACATCCTGAGCTGAAGCAGTCCTCCCACCTCAGTATCACGAGTACCTGGGACTACAGGCGTGTACCATCATGCCCAGCAAATGTTTTTTTAATTTTTATTTTTAGTAGAGACAGGGTTTCACCATATTGCCCAGACTGGTGGTGAACTCTGGGCTCACGCAGTCTGGCCACGTCAGCCTCCCAACGTGTTGGGATTACAGGCATGAGCCACCGTGCCCAGCCAATATGAGAAGTCTTTAGAGCTGGTAGGACAAGTCCTCCTGCCTTTATCTTCTCCCAGGCACGTCTTTGCTGTTTTGCCTTTGTGTTTTCTATGTAAATTTTTAGAATCATCTTGTCAAATCCCACACACACGTACACAAAGCCTGTTGGGATTTTGATTGCAATTGCATTGATTCAATTGCATTGGGTCAATTTGGTTTTTAAAGTGATTGCTGTCAACATTTCATTTTTCCCTATTTGTTTGCTGCAGGTTTTTTGTAGATGTCACTTAGTAGATAAAAATGTTTTCTTCGATTCCAAATTTGTTTTTGGTGTAGATACATGTTGAATTTTATCAATTGTATATTCTGCATCATTAAGATGATCATATGCTTTTAAAAAAAAACTGAGGTTTGGCAGTACACGTGAAGGTTTATTAGACAGGTAAACTCACGTCATAGGAGTTTGTTGTACAGCTTTTTTAATCACCCAGGAATTAAGCCCAGTACCCAATAGTTATATTTTCTGCCCTTCTTCCTCCTCTCACCCTCCACCCTCAAATAGACCCCAGTGTCTGTTGTTTCCTTCTTTGTGTTCATAAGTTTTCATCATTTAACTCCCACTTATAAGTGAGAACATGTGGTATTTGGTTTTCTCTTCCTGTGTTAGCTTGCAGAGGATAATAGTCTCTAGTTTCATCTATGTTCCCGCAAAAGACATCATCTCATTCTTCTTTATGGCTGTGTCGTGTTCCATGGTGTATATGGACCACATTTTCTTTATCCAGTCTGTCAATTGGTGGGCATTTAGATTGATTCCGTGTCTTTGCCTCTGTGAATAGGGCTGCAGTGAACATTCCCGTGCATGTGTCTTTATGGTGGAATATTTCTATTCCTCTGCTATATACCCAGTAATGGGGTTGTTGGGTCAAATGGTAGTTCTCCTTTTAGCTCTTTGAGGA